CCTCCTTCATCTCATCGTCCATTGGCTGCTCCTTGCCCTGCATCATGATGGTGGAGCAGCGGTCCAGGATTCTTTCTGGAGCTCCCTTCATCACCAGGAGGTAAGAAGTGTTGCTTTCCTCCTCTGCCTCATGAATCGAGAGCTGAAGTGGGGAAACGTGGAAGACTCTGTGTCAGAAGACATTTTTGGTTTTTGGTCCATCTGGTTCTCAGCTGATGATCACAGACCTGGTACTTGTTGGTGGAGTTGAAGGGGATCTCAGCCACCTTCTTGTTCTTGTCCCTCATGATCTTGACAGGGCCACACGACAGCTCGATGCACTTCAGCAGGGCGGACTCCGAGGCGTCGCCCGCCACCTCACGCTTCAGGATAGGCAGAGCCTCCTGACCGGCCTTGAAGACGGCACGGTTGCACAGAGAAGCGATGCGAGCCAGAGACACCCATGTGGTGGAGCTCTTGTCAAAAGATGAGCCTTAAAAAAGTCACACGATTTTAATCAGCGTTAAATGTCATGATGTGATTTTATTTTTCTAAATCTCAATCAGATGCTTTCCTTTTTCTTGTGACTTAGTATAAAAAAAAAGTATAAATCTGGTACCAGACTGGTCCTCGGTGGTGTCGGCCTCGTGGATCTGGTTGTCAAACCACATGTGGGCTACGGTCATGCGGTTCTGGGTCAGCGTCCCCGTCTTGTCGGAGCAGATGGTGGAGGTGGAGCCGAGTGTCTCCACGGCCTCCAGGTTCTTCACAAGACAATTCTTCTTGGCCATTCGCTTGGCAGTGAGAGTCAGACACACCTGGGGAGGTGGGAGGTGGGAGGGGGAGGAGGGGGCAGGAAGTAGAGGGGTAGGGAGGCGGGTGGGGGGGGCGGAGAATGAGGAGAAGACGGATGATTGTTGGTCAACCAAGTCAGAAGAAGCATGTGTGTGCGACGGTGCATTCAAGTGTTTGTGCAAGTGAAACCACGCGTGCTGCAGGTGCAGGGAATTACACAGTGTGTGTGTGTGTGTTTAGCAGGTGTGCAGACACATAAACATGTCATGTAAACACAATAAAAAATAAAAAATCGGCTTCACATGAATTCCACATGAGAACAGAACAATCCCAGGTTCAACTCCTGCTGGATTTAAAGGTAAAAACGACGGCAGGAAGCGGTCGGTGGAAGGTAATTTATTTTCTCTGACCAGTGAAACGTCGACTGATGGCATTTCAAATGCCAGCTGGCGTCTGTGGCTCAGCTCGAACTCTGTTTATTGTTGCAGAAGGAGTGAGATGCACCTCAGCCCTCGAACAACTCCAACATCCTGTCATAAATCACCTGAGTTCTGCAGAATCACTTGGAGCTGCAGCTAACGTTGACCGGGGTGTGTGTTTGTGCAGAGGCTCAGATTCAATCGTGTAAAAGCACACGAGGGTCAGCTGCACCTGCAGCTTTATATTAACACGTACCACAGGGAATTAAAAAGGCTTTTGTTTTAATTAGGGACGTGTTTCAAGCCAGAACAGGCAGGACATTTTTTTTTTTTTTAAAGTTTTCAACACTTTGATGACTAGTGGTGATTAAGTGTAGTTAAAACACACAGTGATTAGAGAATTCTGAAATGAACATTATTCAAAATGTAGCCAAGAAAAAGTTAAACTGAGCAAAAAAAATGAAGCCTTCATGCAGCTAAACGTTAGCTTAACTCGGCTAAAAGATAGCTTGAGCACTTAGCAAAATATTTAATCAAAAATAAGCAAAACTAATAATTAATATAATAAAAGGTAAATCATTTTAATAAAAGAAAATAAGTTACATTTATGTATATATATATATTATGTGCTGAACATGAGTTATAATCCACAAATGTTATAGTTTTCTTATGTTACGGTGACATTTTTACAGGATTCAAACATGATCTTTGTTGACTGTGACCTCATCATCTCAAGGTCTTTGGACTGAGACGGTACTCACAGTGACTGTGGCCAGCAGCCCCTCGGGCACGTTTGCCACGATGATGCCGATGAGGAAGATGACGGCCTCCAGCCAGGTGTAGCCCAGGATGAGGGACAGGATGAAGAAGCTGACGCCCAGGAAGACGGCCACGCCCGTGATGATGTGGATGAAGTGTTCGATCTCGATGCTGATGGGCGTCTGACGCACCTCCAGCTCAGACGCCAGGGTGGCGATGCGACCCATCACGGTCCGGTCTCCGGTGGCGATAACAACACCACGAGCCGTACCTGACGGGGGAAAGGTGGACATTCAGTGGACAGTGGTGTCACTTTAAGACCATGACACCTAGTGGTTGAGAGTGGAAATAAAAGGAATCACTCATGTCACATCAACAGTCCTTCTTTCAGGAATTGTGGGTCATAAATTTCACCTTTGTCCATCAAGACATTTTTTCAAAATGCTGATAATGTTCTGATCATAAATCGTCTAAACTGCTGGACACGGCTGACCCTTCATGATTTTATCCGAGGAGGAACTCTCCTCGCCTGTGACAGGACGAAGATCAAATCAGAGGATTCATTGTTTAGACGTTGTTACTGCTTTGGTAAAACGGTTGCGTTTGCTCAGACGCGGACGCGCGGCGAGACAAATGGAGGAAACTGCTGGGGTTGAGTAAACAGGACGCAGGGCTGATGGAGAGGTGACGG